AAAGGTTGAGAAGGAAGTTTGTGTGATTTGAAGAAAATCAGTTCTGTTCTCAGAGGCAGTGAGCACTAGAAAAGAAAGCAGCGTGAGGACAGAAGGTGGTGACCTCAGCTTTAAGTGCCTATCTCTTGACAGTCATCCAATAGAACTTTGACATGGGGGCCTGGCACCCCTGGGCCTCCAAGAGGTGGCCTATGGCATTGATGTGGAGTTGAGACTATGGATTGGAAAACATGAAGTCATTTGAGGTTGCAGGAAGAAGAATGATGCAGTTGGATGAAGGGAGTATTCTGATACTTAAGAATAGGAGAAAAAGAAAAAAGAGCTTCGAGGAGGCAGAGAAGGAACAGTCATTGTTATGAGGAGGGCACAGGGAATGGAGGCCAAAGGTGTACAAGAGAAAGAAAGAAATTGTCAAGAGCCATCAGGAAAGTCCTGGCAGAGAATGATAAAAAAAAAAAAAATATGTCCCGACGCTGAATATCATGCTCTTTAATGCATTTAGTAACAGAAATTGTGGTAGATGTATACGGGCAGGAGCAAAATTGTGGTTTAGAAATGACTGGGAGTTCAGGAGCTGGAAGCAGCAAGTATACTGTATAGAACATACCAATAAAAAGAAGGGAGAGGCTGAGTACTTGGAGGCAGAATCAAGAGATCAGGTTGTTTTGTTTTTACTTTTAAAATTTCAGTCAATGTGACTGTATGTGTGCATGAAAGAATGAGTTTTAAGTAAGTGTTCTTGAATATATCAAAGGCACCTGTGAAGGAGGTTACGTATGGACAAAGAAGACACAGATTTCTCAATCACTTTTGGGATGCTGTACAGATATTGTAGGTAGCAGGTTAGAAATTCAAGTTCCTTCATGCATGGTGGGTATCTTATTTTACAAGAGAAACAAGGAGATGAGAAGAGTGGGTTAGAAAGGGAAGAGTGTTAACTAGTCATTGAGGTGAATGAGCAAGTGATCAAAAGCCAGTGGAAGGATTTGTACATGAACAGGATCCAGCTGAATGAGGCTGATACCACTACTGGTGGGAGGCCCAATCTTCTTGGTTGTGTAGCTTTCTCAGTGGCCCTCAGTGATATAGATACAAATAATAGCTAGGTTCCAGTGGAAGGCCCTGGCAACATGGGAACTGAAGGTGTTAGAGCATCTATCACCGCATCTTTGGCAAAGGAAAGTAAGAGGGTACAAGAGAGATGATAAAGTCGGAAGAAACAGAGGGGCAATTCTATGAACAGACAGAATGGGAATAAACGATTAAAAGAGATGGGGGGACTGGAGCAGACTCATGATCCTGTAAGTCTATAATCTTCAGATGTAACTGGACCATTGATAATGCTCAAGAAAATGTATATACAACAGGCCGCTGCATATAGTGATTATTATATATCTTTCTTTCAGATTTGAATTGCTTATAAACCTCATACTCAGGAGAGGACTTCACCTTGCAATTTAAAGAATGGAATTAATCAACTTCCAAACTAACAAATAGTCCCACTTTCACCCTCTTATTTTAACACACCTCACATTTCTAAGGGCAATGCTTGGTGTGGTCACTCTCTTGACTTTTGGTTGGACTTGAATTCATTAATTACTTCCTTTCTCGCCTGAGTATCAACTCTGTTGACTCCATTCAAACAGCTAAAACATATAACAACCTTTGCAAAGAAAGCCCTCCTTACTTCCACATCCCTCTTCAGGGACCAATTCCTATCTCTCATACTCTACAGCTTGTTCTCTTCATAATTCTGTCTCCCTGTCCCCACATATGTATTCACAAAGACTGCACTTTAATGAGAAACCTAGACACATCACCCTACAACGGCAGACCAATGTGATGAGTGAAACATTAATTGCTATATCATTTCCTTAAAACATACCAGGCTAATCCTTGTTGCACTGAACTGCAATTCCTAGTTGTCTGTTTCTGTGCCCTTAGGCTATGTGGTATTTTGAAGGCAGACATGTTATCATAGTTATCAATCTCTCCTAGGAGGCCAGGACTCTCTGGCTGCCGAGTAAAACGCACTTGTTTGCCAACTACATGAAAGCTCGGTTTTAGAGATTTAGTATACAGCATATGGGCTATGGTTACTAATACTATAAACTTAAAATCTGCTAAGAGTGGACATTCACTATTCTCGCCATAAAATGGTCTGTAAAGATAGACATGTTAATTAGCTTGATCGTAGTAATAATTTCACCATGTACATATATCTCTTTTAAACAGATGCATCTTTTATTTAAAAAAAGAGAGGACTGAATCACCTGTTGATCTGAATCCGTTTTTAGTACAGACCCGTCTGTAATCAGGACTGCCCTGGATATTTGCCTGCAATGCACAAAAGAGGAAAGCAGTGATTCAGATTCTATGGTTAAGTTTCATTTATTGTTATGTAACCAGCAGAAGGCATGTTTCAAAGATTTCATTAAGGATAAAAGTGTCAAAACTCAGTCAAGATCTGCTTTAATCTTTTCTTGGCTCAAGAGAGAAGGATGCATGACCTACAGACAAACTCCAGCTGACGCAAAGGAGTAGAAATTCTGCTAGGCTCCCCTCAAAACAGAACCAAGTAGGGAAGAATAGTAAGAAATACTTATACCTTTGGTTTGGTATACCTTGGCATGCTACTCGACAAACAGAATAATGAGAAAGGTCAATATAACCACAAGGCCAGAGGGGTTCCCTTTCTTTGAGTAATGGGTGGAGGGCACCTTACCTGTACTGTACACGGGAACACGTATTCTCAGAAAGGTAACTGTCTTCAATAACGAAATGCTTAGAGATTATTCTTTGACCAAACTGATCTATCATTGCTTTACATCTACAAAGAAGATAAGCATAGAAAAAGATCATGTTAATAATTAATTACTTGAGAAAAAGAGATAATGAACTGATTTTGAATTTGAAACCTTGTAAAACTTAAAAAATAATTGCCAACTACCTTGAATTTTCTGACAATGAACTAGAGACATATTCTGACTGTTATTCTGAAATCTTCTAAACTATAAATGCATATAAACCGTTAAACATTTATTTTGATTGTCATTAGTCTGTAAGTGTAAGGCCAACAAAGCATTATTGTGTAATTCCAAGCTTTCCTCACATTTAGAAACATAGAAGCCATTCCTTTGTTTAGAAAAAAAAAAAAGCTTTCTTCTTCCACCTTTAACAGTTCTAAGAGAGAACGGAAAGCTGATTAAATATCTTGTTGTATCATTCACAGCCTGTAAAGGCCACTAAAGGCTTTTTATTTTTCTGTTAAGTGTTGCTTCCTCTTTTGTTCAAGAATAGCTATCTGGTCACGCGTTTGATAATGTTTTAAACAGAAAAAAGGGATAGAGCCTCTTTTAATATCTGTTTCCACTTTACTTCAAAGGATAATCATGGAAAGATTTCTTTCAAGTGCTGTTTCCAAATAAGGAAAACACTTATGCACGGACATTATCAGGTCTCTGTCATCTGATATGTGTTGGGACAATGAATCATATAGAACCCTCCATTGACCTTCTTTCAATGTGTCTAGATAAAAGGATGAAAATTAGAATCCATCTCCTTGCAGTGCCACAAGTTATAAATGTACTTTATAGGGCTCATTATCCAAACTAATGGACTAAGAGCGACACCCTTGAAGTGGACTTACCAGCACTGACAAAGCCACTATGCAATATTTCAGGAACTATATGCAAATGACTGTATGTTTGCTATATCTTTTTATTATGGAAACATCAATTTGCTTTTTGTCAGAGCTTCTTTTGGTACAGGAAATATTTTATTAGAAATACACTTATATGCTGGTCCTCACAAAATGCAAGCAAATGATTTTGCACTGATATCATATTTAAGATATTCTGCTATAAATTAAAGTATCCTCAATTGATCTAAACAAGCCAAATAAGAGATCAATAACAGGCATATATAAACTAAAATAAAATGACCAGCATCTAAGACCAAGCAAAAAGGAAATGAATTTGCATTTTGCTGGTATTATTGAATAAATGGCATATTGCTGCTGGCAGGTTAGACTATTATGTCCAGTGATGCTATGCAATACTTATAAACAATTAAGCATATTTTAATATAAATCTGTTGTGTTAATATTTAAATGACTTCCCCATCTTGCTTACACTTCAACTCTTCTTCATTTCCTTAAACTAAGAGTTCACCTTATCTATAAAATACTTCACTAAATTAACACAATGGAGTGACACCAAGTACTGACCAAGATAACTTTTAAAAAGTAGAAAGATAAGTTTGTTTTTCAACCTCTTGTTTTGAAGCATCCAAAAGCAATTTAAAAACCAAAGTACTTGAAGGAATGGAGAAGAGACAGCTGCTGAATTGTAATGACATAGTGATTATATTTGTCCTGTAACCACTGGCAAAAGTTTCTTACTTTTAACTAAGAAGCTACTGAAATTGAAGAAGGAATAATGCAGGCAGGCAAATGAAAGGGAGTATAAAGTGCTATTATGCTGAAAGGACTTAGGGTTTTGTTCAAACTCAACTAATGAGTACTTAAGGATGGGACATAACTGCAATTATAGCCGAAAGGACGACAGAAAAACACTGCACTATAGTTCAGGCTGTCCGTATCAAAATGTTTAGGGTGAATTTTAGTGATACCTGCAAATTTACTGTGGAATGCATAAAAGATGAATCAATAGATGGCTCAAGAGGTGAGTAACTGAGGATGTATGAATACCCAAGTATACTACAATGCTCACTGCAGAAACTGAGCAGAAGATGTAAGAGATGTTCACTTTAAATTCAAAGTTGGCAAAGGGTTTCATACTCTGTATCATAAAATGTTGGAATGAAACTGAGAAAAGGGTGCTTTTCAGATAAATCTTCAACCTTAGTGCCTTTTGAACAGGCTCCTTTTATCAAACCAACCAACCAACCAAACGAGCAAACTCAGAAATAAACTTAGCCCTCAAGATTACGGAGTCTTTCCTCCTTAGTTGGCTTCTAAAGAGTGACAGTGATCCTTTGGTGACTGGCAGGTAGGTTTTTATTGTTGTTGTTACATTATTAGAAAGAATTAATGCAGATAACACAGAGAGGAACTAACATGCTATGGATACACACACGCAAGCTCAACTATGAAGGCATAAGATGCTAATAAATGTGCCTGTTTATGCAGATGCTTCAGATGAAACAGTGATTCCCAAAGGAGGAGAAGGAAGAGGAGGAGGAGGAGGAGCAGGAGAAGGAAACGAATCAGAACCACACCTGGGGGACTTTTTCAAATAATAAGTACCCCTGGAGATTCTGATAAGCTTCCAAGTCCCAAGAAAGAATCAAAGTGAAGCCTGTGAAGCCTCCGCTACTGCTGCATCTTTATGTTGCACTTAAAGTGAGAAAAGTAAAGAGATAGCGAGAGAGCGAGCGCGAGAGAGAGACAGCGAGAG